AGGTTTTCCATCTCCAGGATTCTCTCAGTTTGTGTTTTTTTTTTTTTTGTTTGTTTTTTTTTTAGTTTGTGTGTTCGTTATTTCTTCTATTTTCATTTTCATTTTCAGGTCTTGAACCATTTTATTCATCTTTTTTACCTGTTTGATTGTATTTACCTATATTTCTTTAAGGGATTTATTTCCTTGTTCATTTCCCCTTTTAAAGACCGCTATCATCTTTATAAAGTTGGATTTAAGGTCTTCTTCTGCTGCTGCTGCTTCTTTTCTTCTTCTTCTTCTCCTCCTCCTCCTCCTCCTCTTTCTTCTTCTTCCTCTTCTTTTGGTTTTTCAAGACAGGGTTTCTCTGTGTAGCCTTGGCTGTCCTGGACTTGCTTTGTAGACCAAGCTGGCCTTGAACTCACAGCCATCTGCTGCTTCTACCTCCCTGAATGCTGGGATTAAAGGCTTGCGCCACCATGCCCATTTTAAGGTCATCTTGTGCTTCAGCTGTGTTAGGATCTCCAGGGCTCATTGTAGTAGAAAAGCTGGGTTCTGGTGATGCCGTAATTGCCCTGGCTTTTGTTGATCGTGTTCTTATGCTGACCTTTAGCCATCTGGTTGTTCTTGGTATTGGCTAGATGTCCCTGATGCCGGCAGGTCTCCTTGCAGAGGCAGCCAGAGCCTTGGGCCTGACAATGGGGCTCAGAGAACAGCCTCCTTACCTCTGTTGGCTGTGTCCCTGGTGGACCTGGCAGGCAGGGGCCTGTCGATGGGGCTTGGGAAACAGCATGCAGATAACCTCTGTGGATTTTTTATTAATTAAATCATTAGACGTAGGAAGACCCATTTAATCTGGATATTTGAGGTGGGAAGACCCACCTCTAACCTGGACCACAGCTTCTGCTGGCGGCCTATGTAAAAGATGGAAGAAGAAAGCTTGCCCTCTTTGCCAGCTTGCTTTCTTTCTGACTAGCAAGTCCATCCCTTCACTGGCATTAGAGCCTACTCCTTTGGGATTTTTGTGTATACTGAAGACCAGCTGAGATATCCAGCCTCATGGACTGAACAACTACTGGATTCTTGGATCTATCATTGGTAGCCAACCACTATTGGATTAGTTAGACCACGGCCTGTGAGCCATTCTAATAAATCCCTTTTATACATACACGCATGCGTATATATGTTCTGTATATATAGAATGTGCACACACACACGTATTCATTCTATACGTTCTATTCTAGAGAACCCTGATGAATACACTGGGGTTAGAGGTGTGTGCCTCCACATGAAGATTTTCACATGGATTCTGAGGACCTGAACTTAGGTCCTCATGCTTGTGTGTCAATAACCCTACAGCTGATCCATCTCCCCAATCTGCCTTTTCCTTTCTTTGTAAGCAAGTTACCTTAAAAAAAAAGGCAACTCCACTGGAGGGGATGTTGCCAATTCTGTAAGATTTCTCTCCCATCCCTGTGCGGTGCTCTCATGTCTTGATGTCTGCATGGAGTGACAGACTCGTTTACGCTTTCAGTTCTAGCCTACTACTGAAGCCATGTACTTTACTAATCACATTCTTCAGCACTGGTTATATCAAGATCTTTTCGCTTAGTTCTTGTGTCCTTTGTCATGAATTTGTATTTTGGGGCCAGAATTTCTTTCTAGCACAATATACTCAAGTTCCTTTATATTTATCTTGTCAGATTATAGATGAGCAGTTTCTCCAAGGAGCCAGGTTCATCTTGTTAATATTTAATAGATCCAGCTATGTAATCTGCTGGGCCCACTCTGTAGGCTAAGGGGTTTGCTGTGCAGGTCTGCTGATACAAGTTCATTCTCCAGAATCCATATAACATTTAATGAATGTTTAATGTTTTTAAGTTTGTTCTGTTGTAATCACTTTGCCTACTGAAGGCCCATCTTAGCCCATTTGACTGTTATCTCTGAAGATCATAGACTGGATAGTTCATAAAGAATAGAAATGTATTTTCTCATTATGTTTGAATTGTGGAAATGTCAAGACCAAATGTCAAGACATCTGACGAGGGGCATCTTGTGAAACCTGAATGAATCACAGAGGAAGCGCTTTCACTGACTAATAATTCCTTCTCTTCCTTTTTCTTCCTCTTCCTCCTCTTTCTCCTCCTATTCTCCTTTTTCATCTTCTCCCACTCTTTTTGAGACAGGGTCTTATGTAGCCCAGGTTGGCCTTGAACTCACTATATAGCTAAATCTGGCCTTGAACTCCTGATCTTTCAGACTCCACCTCCCAAGTGCTCAGGTTCCAGGTATGCTCTGTCATACATGGTGCCAAATTATTTATCGAAAGTGCTATCTCCTAACGCCATCAGGATGGCGCCACCTGAACTTAGCAGGACACTCTCAAACAAAAGTGCTGTCTTTGTATGGCTCCAAGTGGATTTTAGGATTTTCAAACATATTTCATATATAAAACATAAATAAAAACATAAATAAAAAGCCATCTAGATTTTGATAGGGGTTTTGTCACATCTGTAAATCATAGTGTATAGCATGGTGATTCATGGTGATAATAATTTATATACCTAGTTAGTGAAATAAAGATCACCATGACTACTGGTTGTTGATAATTATTAATATTTAATATTGATTTATCTTTCAGTTATTCCTAAACCAGATGTATACCCAAATCACCACACAGAGACTAGGATTTATTTACTTAACTTAAAGCACAATTATTGCCCACAAGTGCTGGGCAATAATTACTCCATCCTAAACCTCCAAGCCCACATAGCTTCCTCCCAGTCAGATTTCACAGATTACATTTGCTTTTTAGTCATTTCTTAGGTCTGGTTCATTTCTCCTGATGTTTCCAGGTCTTCTTTTCTCAGATATCTCCTCCCCTTACTTCTTTCTCCTCCTCTCTGGATGAAGATGTCCCACCCTACTCTCTCCATTGCTCAGCATTGGCTGGTTGTTTTGTGGACAATACAGAGAACAAATGGTGGCATGTTTACACAAACTTGAGACAAGTGATGCTTAGAATAAACATCACAGTGCAATGCCTGGATTGAAACCAGCTAGTGGGGTAGAAAAGCCAGCATTTGAAGGAACAAGGGTAAATTGTATACATTTCACAAGAACATTATGCCAAAAAGTGATGTATTAAAAGTGTTACAAATTCTCATGTATCATATGTATGTAGGCTACTCTACGCTGTAATGATTGACTCTTCTGTCTGACCACAACTAGAATTATTAGTAACTTGTATTATTTCAGAATGGCATATGCTTCAGTGATAGACTATATGATTGTTTGATGCTTATACCAAAAGTAGGTTTAACGGAGAAAATGTTTCAATGTCTACTTTTCATCTAACCCAGAGATCATGGGTGTGCCATGATTGATTACCCCGAAATCAATGTGCTCTTTCATGTTAAGAGAGCTTGTTCACCACAGAATAATCAAATATTTACTGTTGGCCCTGCGTGGTTTTTGAAAAAGTTAATTACCCATCATTCAGTACTGATGAACACCAAAGGACTGAATGTGGCATAGCCACTGGACACAAGCATCTGGACACAGCGATGAGCTGGGTCATTATTCCACATAACCCTGGAGAAGGAGGCAATGCAGTCTAGGCAGTACATGAACAAAAAGAAACTTAACAGCAGCAGGATGGTCCGGATGGCCCTCCACTCTGGGGACGTTTTGGGGCAGACGCTGGTGCTGTGAAGGTACTGAGCCTGCCTCTTATGCCTGCACAAGACAATCACCATGTACACACTTGAAAGCATCATGAGTACTACAAAAGAGGCATCCCAGAAGACAGCCAGTACAGCAAGTAAGTGTCTCATGATGTCACTAGAAGGCCAGAGAGAACAGGATTTAGTGACCATTATATGGACGTGCGAGGTCCCGTTACAGGTGGCAACAATGGAGTTGAGGAAACCACTGATAGGCATGTAGAAGGCCCACAGGGAAAGAAAGCAACACAAGTTGTGATATAAGGAGTTATGTTTGAACTTTGCCAAGCAGGAACTTCTGGGGCTGAGGATGATGACCTGGAGGATGCTCAGGTGACAGGTAAAACAAATGGAGATGCTCCTCATCAGCCTGTACAAGGAGATGACTGCTTTACACGTGACGTCATCCCAAAACCTCTGGGACCCCAGAATGTCTGTAGCCATGAAGGCCATGCTCAGCACCATCACTATGTGGCTGAGGGCCAAGAGAGCAATGATCGGGTTGACGGGCTTGTGCCTGAGCTCCTGAAAGAATGTGACCACGTGGACGAGCAAGAGGATGGTGTTGGCTGAGATCCCAAAGGCAATCTCAGAAAAAAGAGCATTTCTTATGCCATTGTGATTGTACAGGGGGCTGTTCCTGTTCATCTTATGGCGGAAAGAGACACACAGGGCATACCTAAGAGAAAAAATTATTTACTACCTAATTGCTGCCTTCATCAGTCTCCACTGATACTATGGCCACCATGGAAATATATGGACTAACCACAGAACACCCTGTTCTGGCTCATGTTCTCCAGAAACCATCCCATTCTCTCTCTTTTCCCATCACTTTCTAGTCACAGCTGGATTCTATACTGCTATCTCCCACAGTACATGTAGTTTCTTAAACAATAAAAAATTGCCATATAGTAGAGCAAACATTACCTAATTAGTACCTTGTTGTTGTTTTTTTTTTTTTTTTAGTTTTCCAGGGCAAGAACAATCCTCTTCCTTCTTTCCCTTTGAGACAGGGTTTCATGTAGCACAGGCTGGCCTCGAAGACACTGTGTAGGGAAGAATGATCTTGACTTTCTAATCCTCCTGCCTCCAACCCCCCAGTGTTGGAATTACAGGTACACAGCAGTAAGCCTGGTTCGTGTGGACCCTGGGATCAAACCCAGGGCACTGTGCATGTGAGACGAGCACGTGATCTTCTGAACTAGGCCGTCAACCCCTCAATCTGCATCTTCCTGGTCGTCAGCACATGCTAACAGTTACTTCTTTCTGGAAGTTGCGTAGAAATGGAAACGAGACCCTTCCAAGAAGAGTATCAATGGTTCAGAGAAGGACATAGATGCACTATCAGTATTAATATTATTATTATCAGTATTAACTTTATTTCAGCTGATTTATTACCAGGATAGATCTTGATGCATCAACAGAGGGAAATGCACGTGGACTATGAATATACATCTATGATCTGCTCTACCATAAGCATGATCTATAACTCCAAGGTCCAGTCCTCTTTTCTGTAAAATACGCAGTCATAGTTTAGATCGTAAAAAGATGAACTCTACCTACCAAGCCCAACACTGTTTCTGCTATATAATGATGTCTACAAAGAAGCAGCAATTACTTTTTGTTATTAGGCAATTTCTCGTGCAATTAACTTGGGATATTTAGTACAGTTCTCTTAGTAGTTGATCAATTCAGTCTCTGCTGAAAGATAAGTGATACGAAAGTTAGCAAAGTCTCTGATAGAGTTTTAGATTTTTCCTCTTTAACTTCCCAAAGAGGGGAATAGATCATCATGCCAAAATGTCTAGTCCATTTGAACAAAATTCAGCTATTCACTGGTAGAAACAGAGGCCAATATGTTTCTCTTATGGAGTGTGGTAGAGTTAGAGCTAAATTCAGGCGTAAGAATAAATTATTTCTTGGCTTTTTAGACCGTGTAATTTTGTAATATAGGACACGAAGGGATTCTGAAAAATGTTAAGAATTCTTTAAGAAACATTATTTCAAACTATGCGCATGCGTCTGTGGGTGCCTGCATGTATGCACCGGTGAGTGCAGGTGCCTGCGGAGGCCAGCATTCTGGATCCGGTTCGTGAGCTCCTGATTTGGGTGTTGGGGACAGAACATGGATCTTCTGCAAGCACAGTATGTGCTCTTAACTGTTGAGCCATCTCTGTCTCTAGCCCCAAGGTTTGTGTGTGTGTGTGTGTGTGTGAGAGAGAGACAGAGAAAAGTTTTATTTCAGAGTGGGGGACCTTCTGAAGAACCATAGCCTACCTTCAGTCTGTTTGCTTCTAGGGTGAAAAGGGAGGGGCAGAAAAGGAGCTTGATGGGTTTCCTTTTGGGTTCAAGATTGGCTGTTGCTAGGAATGACCGAAGAATGGTGAGTGTTGGTGAGCAAAAGGATGTTAGATGACTGATAAACTTCTCTTATGCCACCCATTCTCAGGGGATCTACAGCGGCCCCAAAAGTTTTTTCAGTTTAGGTTTTTTTTATTTAAAAAATTGCATACACTATATTTTGGTTACAATTTCCCCTCCCCCATCTCTGCCCAGGTCCTCCCCACCTCCATACCCATCCAACTCCATACCTTCTTTCTCTCTCTCTTTAGAAAACAGGCAAATATTGATAATGATAATAATAATAGCAAAACAAAGAGAAAGCACAAGAAACACACACACACACACACACACACACACACACACACACACACACACACACACTAAAAACTCCAGACCAGTAAGATTTTAAAAAATGCCCAAACAAAGCAATATGGGACAAAAAGAAAATCTACAAAAATACCATTGAATTCATTTTGTGCTGTCTGTCTATTGCTGGGCTGGGCCTGAATACCCATGTATGTGTGGTTTATATTCCCAGGAGACTACATTGGAGAAAACTAATTTTCACATTGCAAGCAATTATCAATTGGAGATAGCTTCTTATGGACGGGAGCTCATGTCCACTTCCCTCTTTCAGAGCTGGGACCCCATCTGACTTAGACCTCTGCAGGTTCTGTGACTGCTGCCACAGTCTCTGTGAGTTCTTGTGAGTGCCAGTCCTCTTAGGACGGAAGATGTCTTCCTATCAGGTACTGAATAAGACAAATAAAACAACTTGCTACATTTAGAAGCATCCACTTATATTTGCACCCATGAAGCATCAGGAAAGACAGTAGAAAACATAACCTTAATTGTCCCAATTTTCTGTAGGACACGTAGCACCTTTGTCGTAGACCTGTGTTTAATATTTATATGTATTTTGAAGCGAGGTGTACCCCTATTGCTTTCTAAGACATTATTTTACTAGTACTTAGGTTCTGGAGGATGTGAACCCTTTATGAACACAGACTAAAAACTATCCCTCTTCGTGTCTTCTCTTCCACCATGCCTTCCTCCCTGTGCTCACATCCACCTCACTCGTCTACAGAACAGAGACCCCCTCAAACATGGCTCATAGGAGCCATGGCTGTAGAGACTGGCTCACCTTGCACACCAAGCATAAACATTGCATTTAGAGGGCTGGAGAGGTGTTCAGCAGTAGAACACACCAGCTGCTCTCCAAGAGGACCCAAGTTTGATACCCAGAACCCACATAGGAGCTAACAATCAACCGTAACTTTAGTTATAGGAGATCCGAAGCCCTCTCCTGTAGGCAGTGCTTACCTGTGGATCAGGGACATAGGCACAAGGAAAATAACAAGGATTTTAGAAACAGGTCACTTCAGACAGGACTATGTTGGGAAAGAGGAAGGAAAGTCCAAGTAGGGGGCTGGAGAGATGGCTCAGCGGTCAAGAGCACTGACTGCTCTTCCAGAGGTCCTGAGCTCAATTCCCAGCAACCACATGGTGGCTCACGACCATCTAATTACCTTTTCTGGTGTGTGTGAAAACAGGGCATTCATATAAATAAAACAAATCTAAAAAAAAAAAAAAAGAAAGCCCAAGTAGACAACTAAGGAGAGAAAACCTAAAGAAATACTAAAGAGCAGTGTGACCTGGTAGTGAAGTCTACAACCCCTTCAGAGGAAAAACAAGAGTTATGATCCCTGGATTACATGGACCGCAGAAGCAGATATTCTAAGAATCTGTGTTTTATAATTATGGAGATGATGGAAAGAAAATCCTGTGACATGAGGCATCGTCCAACAGTCCTCAAAATAGTGATGAATGTTCAAGTCATTGTACTCTAGGCCGGTGGTCAGAGAAGCAAAGAGTGTAGGGGGGAGAAAACCCTTTAGTAGATACCGGTAAGTGTGGACACTCATTACCTGAGGGCAGTCATGTTGAGAGAGGGCAGATCTGGAGGGCCCATGCATTTCCTCATGGATGCATGAGCAAAATCATTCATGTGTCTTAAAATTGCATGAGGTATAAGTAATATTCGTGTCCAGGACCAAGCTGTCCATGTAAGGACATGACCATCCTTGCATAGAGGGAAGAACATGCTTTGATTTGTCATTTGTTGGTGCCCAACCTCACCAACTTTGTCCTCATTACCATCTACAAAACCAATATGGACCAAAGGTTCGGGGATATGACTGGTCCTGCTTCGTGCAGATGAGTTTAAACAGGCGACACTGGGCAGCATCTTTTACCGTGGGGCACAGTTTTACCTGGGAAACTATGAAGAGCACAGGGAGAAAAGGCTGGCACCCGGGGGAAGAGAAGAGCTTCACACAACGAATGTCAGTGCCATGTGCAAGTGGCACAAAACAAATACACTGCAGGAAGGTGGTGAACAAAAGCCGGGAGAGTATTTGGGTGAGTACATGACAGCTATTTGTGAACCACAGTGACAGTTATGGATTGCTCTTGTGAAGTAGCAGAATTATAAAGCAGAGCCAGGGTTCACACCTGCGGCTGGACCGGTTAATATAATGTCGCTGTTTTACCTCTCTATTGAGAAAAAGCCAGCGGAAGTCAAGAAGCAGGAAGCCTCAGGAGAACGCTGTCTCAGGCTCCAAGCTGTCATTCCTGGGACACACAAACAGTCCTGCAGGAGGGCGGCTTCCTGAAATAGGAGACAGCTCAAGAGACAGAGTTAAGCCAGCTCGCTTGCCAAACAGATTTAACTTTCCTGACTCACTACTCTTGTCTCTTAGTAACAACCAAAGAAATACCTGTTTATGATACATTTCTCCAATGCTGTAAATGAGGGGTGAAACCTGAATTAAAAAAAAAAAAAAAAAAAAAACAAGGTAGAATTGGCTTCAACTGCCCTACAGTTTCTTCTAAACAAAATGAGTTTTGCGAACACCCACGAGCAGAGAAATGGGCAGGGGTATTGCTTAGATGAATCACAAACAGAGATAGGATTAATGGACTAGTCTGTATTTCCAGCTCTTGGAAATTATATTCACAGGTATTTTGGAGCCAGGGAAAGGAAACAAACACAATTATTTCCTTAAAAAATATATAATGGGAACCTGTATTCTCTGCACTCATATTTGACATTTCCTAACTGCTAGAACACACGTTTATGAACTAATAACATTAATTAGCATGTTGTGAAAGTTAAATTTGGACAGTTTTCCCCGAGGTCAGACTTGTAGATATTTTTTAATAATGTGAGGTTAGGGTGAATGAGGAAAGGATTTAATACTTCATTCCATAAGTTATACAATACTGTTATTTTAAATCGCTCA